TAGATGATTACGCAGTTGGAAGATTTATGTTAACTTTAACATTACACGCATCCCTAAAGATCCACCTAAATTTTAATTTATAGTAGATCGCACAAATTTTACTTTCGGAGAATATGTGAAATTTATCAAATTTTCAATTCAATTTCTCTTTAACGAATATGTTATAAACTTTTAAGTTTAGAGATGTTATTAGATCTATTATTAAGCTTAGAATTATTCGGTTTAGTTATTTATTACATTTGAACTTAAATATATATTAAGCACTACGAACTTTTTTGTTATTACCAACTCTTGAACTTTTAAGCTATATTTAAAATAATATATTTTCATCGTGTAGCTTCTACATAATTTTTTAACGAGTCCTTCCGTTGCATTATTCGCTGTCCTATTACTTTTATTTCATCACACCTAAGATATGCGAGAGTTTCACGAAGGAAACGGTACACCCCGACTTCCGTCTGTGGTTGACGAGTTATCCGGTCGAGCACTTTCCCGTCAGCGTCCTGCAGAACGGTGTGAAGATGACGAACGAGCCTCCCAAAGGACTGCGCGCGAATATCTTGCGGTCTTTTCACCAGGTAAAGGCAATTTCCCACTTCGCTCGTCCCAAGATAAGGGATTAATTCTGGGAGGTTCGTTTTTTTAACTTTTTAAATATCGCGGCAGGATCCGATATGCGATCCCGATTTCTTCGACACGTCGAAGCAGCGGGTGACTTTCAAACGGCTGCTCTTCTCGCTCTGCTTCTTTCACGGCATCGTGCAGGAGCGACGGAAGTTCGGGCCGATCGGGTGGAACAATCAGTACGAGTTCAACGAGACGGATTTGCGCATCAGCGTGTTACAGCTCAAGATCTTACTCGATCAGTACGACGACGTTCAGTTCACCGCGTTGAAATACCTCACCGGTATATCCGAATTAAATTCCGTTATTTATCCTATATCTGAATTTTTATATTACATCTTTTATGCAATCGCGTGCTCGAATAAGACTATTACATTTAGAATAGATATAAAAATAAATATATTTAAAGTAGATAATGTGTGAAGGTTCACGTATTTTTAATTGGATTCGAAATTAAACTGAAAATTTAATTCACATTAATATAATTGACGTAAAAATAAATGTTAAAAGTAGATAATGAGATTCAAGGATAATATTTTTAATTAGATTAATTAGATTTCGAAATTAAGCGGAACGTTGACTATAACAATGGACTTTGATAATAGAATTCGAAAACAAATACGCTCAACCTTGTATAAAAATATAAAAAGTATGTAAAAAATAAAAAGAACGTTTTTTAAATTCTTTTGAGTAGGATCTCACCTCAAGGAGTGAAAATTAGGCCAATTAAAAAAGGGTGGCCTAATTTTCAGTCTTTAAGAGTGAGATCCATTCTAAAAGTTTTATAGAGCATTAACTAACTATATTACATTTTAATCAATATATAATAAATAAACATATTATATTAATATATAACATAAAAAATATATTTACATTGAATTAAGTGGATTAAATTAATTGACGTTAGAAACAAAGAGTTATAAAAAATCAAATGTTACGGAAAGAGAAATATTCGAATCATTGATAAGCCCCAGTAAACAACAAGTTTTCATCAGCGCGACCTTTAAATCCTCCATTTTTTCAAGGCGAATGCAATTACGGCGGTCGTGTGACCGACGAGTGGGACCGACGGACCCTGAACACGATCCTGATGCTATTCTATCACGTGGATGTGATCGTGACCGATCAGAAATATCTGTTCGACGAGAGCGGCCTTTATTATATACCGCCAGTCAGCGACTATACTGAGTTCCTGGACTACGTGAGAGAATTGCCGATGACAACTGCGCCTAGTATATTCGGCATGCACGAGAACGCTGATATCATTAAGGATCAGCAAGAGAGCTACTTGATGCTGTCCTCTGTTCTAAGCACTCAGGTATTAAGTCGAGTATCGAGATTGATTGTTATATTTCTACACGGTTCTCGGGATAAAGAGGATTTATCGCACGCCTATACATGTTCCGGTGGGTCCGAAATAAATTATAAAAAGGCGGTGAAACGTAATACGAGGAATGATTTTGCGTAAAGTGTCTAAGAATTTAACTAAATAAACAAATCTGAAAATAATTTTATTGGACTGCAAAAATGATTACGTAGGAAATTCAAGCATGATAAGTAATGCTGCAAAAATATTTTGATATTTTGATAACTAGCTTCAGTGTTTTATTATGGTAAAATAATAATAATTATTTCGAATATACATGACACAATTCAGAACGAAAATAAGATTTTAATCCAATTTTCGAAATTTAAATTTAATTTTTTCTTGTTTATTTATAATACCCTTCGCACAATGAGAGTATTTAATTAGATTTTTAAAAATTGGATTCAAATTTTATTTTGTTCAAAATTGTATTAGTTTCGAAATTGTATTACCTTATTGTATAACTGTGTTTTGATAGCAAACAACAAAATTATTTTTAGGTCTGTATTTAGTTAGATTTTTAAAAATTCAGTAAAATTGCTCTTGGTAAGTATTGATATAAAGAGCTTTAAATAAAATAAAGTAAAATGTTTCAATTTAAATAAAATGTTCTATTTTTTTTGCAAAAGTTAGATACATCGATAATATATTCTAATAAATAATGTTTTTTAATATATTTTTGTAATTTAATATAAAATTTATTACATTTGCTCATGTGCTCTTAACTCCGGAAATATTTTTCTTATAAAATTTTCGTAATCATTTGATGAATAGTGTTGCATAAGAATAAAGTTTCGAGCGTTATAAGATGAACAATATCCGCTCTTATATAATTTATTGACTTTTCCTTTTATCTTCATTTAATTTCTTGATTCCTGCATTACGATGGATTAATGAGAATTTCTGTTATTTTTTTCATCTTTGCCCAGAGTGAGGAGATTAAAGTAAGTAATATTTATATAAGAAAGTTCTGATGATGTAAATAACTGAATAACGATATCGTTCTATTTTCACGCGATTAACGTCGAAAAGAAGGAAAATCAAGAAAGACGATAATTCTTACTTCTCATTGCAATTCAAAAATTCTCAAACGTGTTATTAAGATATTTATGTAACAGAATTAATTCCGGAAAAAAAATATCGGCTATAAAATAAGGAATAAATAAAAAATTCCAATAAAACCTATAAAACCCGGCAAGATGAACGTGGGTAGAAAGTATAATAGAAATTATATACGTTTCGATTTAGATTTTCTTCAGTATAATACTAACACAACGAAGTTAATTAAATACCAATTTCGTTCTATTTTCTAATTACCATTAGAATTGTTAAATTGAATAATTTTTTAATATTTTAATTTTTGGAAAATTTTTAATTGACATATTTTTTTCTTTTACAGAAATTTACAGTTTCTAATTTTCGAAATTACAAAGAAACTCTTTAATTTTTCTAGTAAACACATATTTTTTGAAAAGAATCGTTTTTCAAAATTTCTGTTTTCTTTTTTATTATAACCTTTTTATCAATAAGTTTTGTTTTTTACCGTTGTATTCCTTAATATTTGTTAATATATTGTTTTTATAATGATTTAATGTTAAATATTGTTAGAAATAATAAATTAAATATATTTTTTTGAAGAAATATGAGCACACTACTTACAGTGTTGATTCTCACTACTCTTAATTTTCTTTATTACTAATTTTAATTACAGAAAATCTCAATTGTGTTCTTTTTGTTACAATATGTTTATTTTTATGAAAGTTATGAGCAATCAAAGTTGGGTTGAATATGCTGTACACAGTGAGTTGACAAAGTGACAAAAAATGATAGAGTATGGCATTTTTTTGAAAGATTAAATGTACACACATTTTATTAACTCGATATTTACACTTCCATTTTCGTTTACTTTGATCTTTTTAACCTTATTTTTGCATTTTAACATGAGCCACTCTATACACTAATTTTATTTTTTACTTTTTAGAAAAAGACATTATTTTAATACCTGCAAGGAAAAAGAATACAAAGTTAGATTTGACTATATGCAAATAATACTGTAAAATAATTCTTAGAATTCGCAATATCTATTAAAATTAACAACATTAATAGGAAACTTTGTGTCAAGTCTTTATTTTTCACAATCTATGTTAAACAAAATCTCTATTTAGATATCTGAGTTCTCTAACGGAATTGAAACACTGCGGTGACCTCGTCAAAAGTTTACGAGCGTAAGATATTCTGATTTTCATCAGGATACCGGTCGTGCGGAAGTGGACACCGAGAAATCGCCGGATGAGACTGTTTACGGCGTCGCGGCCGACATTCTGTCGAGGTTGCCGCAGGACTACGATTTGAATGCTACTCTGGACAGATATCCCACGCTATACGAGCAGAGTATGAACACCGTGCTGGTCCAGGAGATGGGTAGATTCAACAAACTCCTGCAGACCATCCGGAGCAGCCTCGTGAACGTCCAGAAGGCTATCAAGGGTAAAGCTCTTACGCTTCTTCTCTTGTGATCCTTCCGAATTCTACTTGTACTCGTTTAGGCCTGGTAATAATGAGTCCCGATCTCGAAGAAGTCTACTCGTCGATCATCATCGGTAGAATATCCAAGGTGTGGATGACGGATTCTTATCCTTCTTTGAAACCGCTCGGCAGTTATATATATGATTTTCTGAAGAGGCTGAATTTTCTTCAGGTAATATTAAGAAGAAATGGATTATATTTCGAACTATTTTATTTGTCGTAAAAATTGAACATTGTTGATTATATTATTTCTTAGCTGTCACTCTTTTAATTATATGATAACGTTAAGCAAAAGCGGCCTGTGTACAACATTAGAATTTTAAAACTATAGCTTTTCGATTTTAGAATCGTAAGCTGTATTAACTTCGTTGCATTTAATAATATAACATGACATTTATAAGTATTTATTTATGTAAAAATTATTATTTTATTGAATACAAAACCGTAGATGGAGACATTATATATTATTAAAATTTATGATTTTAATTATATTCCTCTTATTTTTAATTATTTTTTAGTTATTTTTTATCATTTCTATAAATCGCCATTACTCAATATGTACATTAATCTAAGTAAAACAATGGAGTTAAAGAATATAACTCAAGAAAATATATTAATATGATTTAAATCCCATTTATTATTTATTAAGTACGTAATACGTCAATATGAACGTTATTTACTTTAAAACTAATCATAAAAATGGATTGATTTACATTTTGACACACATGTTATTTTCTAGATATTTAAGATATTTACTCCTTTGATAACTAAGTGTACTTCGTGATAAATCAGATTTACTTATATAACAAGAACTTTAATCGTTCAAAATTATCTTAATTGATTACTTAAGATTACTTAAGTGATTAAAATGAGCAATTGGCGTGTTTAGGACTTGACACACGGAAGATCCCTTCACGTAGACATTTATATATTTCATAATAAATCAGACTTATTCATAGAACAAGAACTTCAGCTGTTCAACATTATCTTAATAATTACATAACAATCAAGATGAGTAATTGTCCTTTTTTAGACTTGGTACAGGGAAGGTCCTCCCACGTCTTTCTGGATTTCCGGTTTCTACTTCACGCAAGCGTTCCTCACCGGCGCCCGTCAGAATTACGCGAGAAAATATTCCATTCCCATCGATCTCCTGGTTTACGACTTCTTTCCCTTAAAGGACACCGTTTTCGAAAAGCCGCCGGTAGACGGAGTATACATTTACGGCTTATTTCTTGACGGTGCTCGCTTCAACATGGCTACAATGGAGCTCGACGAATCCTTCCCGAAGATCCTTTACGATACCGTGCCTTATGTAAGTGAACACAAAGCAAAGCTCAATCCCTTCAGCTAAATTCGATGCTTCTCGAGCAATGCTCGCACGATCTCAAATCTCTTCGTGAAAGGGCGCAGCTTCCTTAAGTGACGCTCTGGAACTCTCCCAGAAATGCGACATATGCTTTCCTTGGCTATTCAAATTTTTAATCGATCGACGAAACTTTAAATATCATCAGAACAACAAATTACAACGTCGAAATGGTACGGTTTTTCAATCGTAATTTGTTATAGTAATATTTGTTACAGGCTTAGATTCATAATGTATAATAGGAAATTACGTAAAAGAAAGCAGCATCTCAAAAGATGTAAAGTATCAGTGTAATGCTACGCCTGTTCTTTTTAGCTAAACTTCTTGCACGGTTCATTGTTCTTCCTTTCTTTTTTCACGTTGGAGAAAAACTAGAAAAGATAAACCGTGCAAACAGTTCAGCTCAGAGAATTGAACTTTAAGACAAAATTAACAAAGATGAGTTAGGCATGAAATATGTGTGTTTTTTTTTTAAACTTAATATACTCGATTTAAAAGAAGCACTAATTTCATATTCTGCCCTTTAACGATATTGTTTTAAAAAAGGTTATTATCTCTATGTCATTTTGACGTTGTGACTTGTGCTCTGCTTTTCAAGGAACCCATCAAGTCAAGAGAAATTTAAAATGACTTTGAAGTTCCCAAAGTCAAAATGATGATCTTTAGTTATACGATTTGACTGTTTATTGACGTTAAAAAATTAAAAAGTCATTTTGATATTTTTTTTACCTTCTATTTCTTGGGATGAGCCTCTAGCAGCAATGTCTCTCTTGAGCAGAACGTGTGTTCAACTTATCGCATGTATTACACTTCAGCTCTGGCTGATGCCGATGACGAAGGACCAGGTGCAGGATAAAGACACGTACACGTGTCCTGTGTACAAGACCAGCGAGCGGAAGGGCGTGCTGTCGACCACCGGCCATTCAACCAACTTCGTCATCGCGATTTGGCTACCGACGTCGCATCCGCCGGAACATTGGATTCTGCGTGGCACCGCCATGCTGTGCCAATTGTCGGACTAATACGTGAGAGCTTTTCTGACAGACGGGAAGATCCTTGAGAAACTGGACATTTTAATGAGCTCGCCGTTGAAAATATATATACGTCGTCTATTTAACTTTGTTCAACAAATTAAATTCCTTTAACTGTTTCAACGGAGAATAATAAATTTTTCTCTTTAAGGGTCTGAATTTATTTTAAAAGAAGGAATTCAATTGTGATGATTAATTTTTCTTTAATATTAAGTTTTTGCGTATGTTTTTTATTAAGAAAAAAATGCGCGAGTATAAACTCATCCGTGGCTTTTGTAAAATTTTATGGTAGAACGATGGGGTATTTTCGTCCCATAACATACATATTCTGCCTTTACATACAGAATATAAGAGAGAAACAGTATTAAATAATTGTCACCAGTTATTAAAAATTATATTCATATTTACTTGAAATAAATAAGACATTTATAAAACACTGTTTTTTTTATAGTAGAAAAATATTTCTGTAAAAATTTTACTTGAAAAAAGTGATTTTATTTTGCAAGCATTACTTTTTAAACAGCCAGCATGGAGAATAAATTTAGAATATGTTTTATATCTATAAATATTATTTGAACATATAGACAGATTTTCAAAATCTCAGAATTTTGCGAAAGGGAAAATCATATTACAAAATTATTGTACATAAACAACGCCAGTTCCATTGCTTAACAGCCTCAAGGAAAAAATATCAGCAAAAGTATAGGAAATTCCAACGGAACTCGAAAAGCGGTCGACCATCCGTTAATTAAACCCGTCAAGAATTCTCGTCGAATTCTCGTTGATCTCCTTTCGCGTCGTCGTCGTCGTCATCATTGGTGGTGAGCACCATTTTCGCCGGTGCTTCTCCTCGTGTTATCCCGCGCGCCGTGTTGCACAGTTGCCGGTATTTATTATGTGGAATATGGCGCTTTCGGGGGTGGGGTAGTAGAGGGCTGTCAGGGGGAGGAAAGAGAGAGAGAGAGAGAGAGAGAGAGAGGAGTTGAGCCACCACGGGGGTGGTGGGATGGCTACAGCGGCTTGCTTGGCGGCACCCTGTCTACCCGGACCGAGATCGCCGGAGGCTCGTTGCCTAGCGACCCCGTATTGATCTCATCCCCCGTGTGCCCCGTCTCTACTCCCCTGTTCCAGGGGATGCGAGCATCCCCCTTTCTCTCCTTTCTCTCTCTCTTTCTCTCTCTCGCTCATCTGTCTCTGTCTCCCTCCCGTTCGCTTTCTCTCTATCATTTTCTCCCTTTTTCTATCTATTTATCTATCTTTCTTTGTCCCTATCTCCGTCTCTCTCTCTCTCTCTCTCTCTCTCTCTCTCTCTCTCCCGATTATGTTTCAGTCGCGATTATCACGCAAAACGTATTTCTCATTGTATAATTTTACGTCTCACGTACGATGTTCCTGGATGTTCCGCGCGTGTTCCACGAATCTGAAAGTTTTCCCGCGAAGAAGAGCAGAATTATTTCTCTCCGGCTGTCTCCTCTGTCCCTCTCTTTCTCCTCGCCGCGACCTGGAACTTCTACGTCTTTCCTGTCAGCTTTCGCGGAGCTCTCTCGGTCAGGTGTTCTGCGCTTTTACAGGTGGATTATCAATTCTCGGTTATTTAATTCTGCATTGTCCTTTAATTTATAGTCAAGAAAAAGAGAGAGAGAGAGAGAGAGAGAGAGAGAGAGAGAGACACTATCAATTTACCCAGTAAATTTATTCAGTTTACAATTATTTCCCTTTTCAATTTGCTCAGATTCATTTATCTTTCGTCCACCTGCAGCCATTTCGTCCCTTCCTGTGTTTGCCATTCTTTATTTCCCTCTTCCTTTTCCCGTTCGTCTTGTTTGTTTTCTATCGCTGTGTCTTTCCTTAATTTCTCACCCCCCCCCCCTGCTCGCGTTCTTCGTGCGAAGTACCATCATCCGAATTAAGCCGCGACTCGAGCCTTGAAGAAAATATGTGATTATACCCGATGCAATTTCATAAAGTGCACTCCGCTCGCTCTCAATCCCTCTCACTCTCGCCCTCCGGCCGCGTAGAATTTCTTTCGCTTCGCGATATCTCGTAGATTCGAAGTCCAATTAAGTCAACTGCGCGCGAATACGAGCCGTTTCTTCCGAAGCACGCAATAACGCTTCAATTATCTTTAGATTCTTATATTTCAACCGACCTATAATTGTCAAATATAATTCGAAGATCGCAATGAGTTCTGCGCAAATTAGTCTGTTTTGGTCAATATTTCTGTCCCCTTCTCGATACATTTATTAATAATAATATTAAAAAAATGATTTTGTTAAAAATCCGAAAAAATAATTATGAAGATAATGGAAATTAATTGGTCTATAGAAAACACACATTGCAAAATTAAAAGTTATTCAATATAATTGGAAACGTATTTTTTAAGCATTTTATCTCATAAAGAGAACTTATGAAGGTATGAAGATTAATGATAAATTAAATCTAATCTGAAATATTTTATCCGGAGGATATCCTGAGAACATCCTCAGAGAAACATAGGAATGTCCTCTGGACGTCTTTAAGACGTCCATTTGTGCGGGAAATGATTTTTCAATGTAGTTTTAACAAATCGCTCTTTCACTTAAAAAATGATACAATAATAAAACGTGATTTTTAAGTTACTATTATATTATTGATAATACTTTTAGGGCTTTTCGAGTATTTTCTTCAAAGATGCCAGAAGATTTGCAGGTTATAGCTGTCTCTTTATCCATCAATATTATTATCAATATTTCGTGAACCTTGCTGTGCCTTATTTACTTCATTAAGGCGATAAGCGCACTGATACTGTATCAGTATCAGTAGCGATATCAGTATCAGTTCGCTCCTTGCCCTATTGAAGTGAACAACAAAGTTTACTAAATGTTGGCATTAACACCATGGATAAAGACATGGCGATAGAGATATGGCCACAAACCTTCTAGTATCTTTGAAGTTTCTATTACTGTTTTCGAATTATGAATGAATAAAGACTTAGGTAATGAATTAGGCAAATATTTTACCTATCAATCAAAAATAAATTAACTAAGCTTCATACAAAAATTAGAAAAGCTTACACAACTTAAAAAGAACGGTTTTAAAAAATTCATCATATTCCTCACATCTTAAAAGGAAAAGAATTGTGAAAATGACAAAAATGATATGTTAAGAATATATCCTTTTTATCAATATTATTAGTTTCATAATCAAGGTGAAGATTAGTTTTTTCTCTTTTTAGGAAATTAATTTAATTTCTTCTGATGTGTGTCATTTTTTTAAGTAAAGAAGCGTGTGTGTGTGTGTGAAGTCTGTTTTCCTATAAATATATATAAAAATGTATTTGTATAAAATTTTGAAAAGCAACATTTGAGATTCCAGTCCGCTCTCTTGATGTCGAAGCGAGAAGACGGTCGCAGAAGATTAATAATCACGTCAACAAACGCCGACCAACGCGATTGGGTTCGGTCGCCTAAGAACACATCGCTTGAATGGAAGTCAGCCTCCCGATACAAGCCCAGGTGGGTCGCGGAGGGTGAAAATTCACGAGCCTTCCTCCCTCCCTCCGTTTCGCGTGCGTGAATCCTCTTCGCGCCCTCCCTTTCACCTGCTGTTCACCGTCAGGTTATCTTCCCATTGGCAAAGTGACCTTCATCTGAAATTTCTTTGTTGCGCCTACGCTTCGCAGGGTCGATGGGGCGAGGAAATTTAGATGGCGATGGAAACTCGGGATACGAGCGGTAGGGATGATGCCAGAAATGGCGGCCTTCCCAAGCAGAGCCACAAGTCATATGATATCAAAATGATGTCAAAACGACTCCAAAATGATCATTAAAGGTCACTTTTCAATTATTTTAATGTCATTTTGACGGTACATTTTAATGACATCGCGACTTGCTGTTCTACTCGAGTTCTTACTTTTACCTTCGACCGATCGCGAGCGAGAAATTGGAATCTCGGGAATGGCTACTTTAGTAAATCACGACTGCTGGGATAGGCTTGCTGCCAAGTTTGCGCAACAGCTGATTCAATAAATTAAGCTATAATTAGATCGAATAATTAGATCTGCTCGTTTCTAGAGAAACACTTTACACCAGCTGCGTCTTCATATTTTATTCTTGTTATTTAAGCTATTTGCAGTGTTTTAACTTGTCTACACAGAAAAAATGATCACGGTTGAATTAACAACATATGCTTGGCTAAGCAAATTTTCATAGAATTAAACGGAACTGATTAACATAATTAAATAATTAGGTATTTCAACCAAAAAGTTTCGGTTTATTATCATCGGAATTTATGCAACCAAATGTGTCTGAGTATCATAACCGAAATATGTCACTAAATTATTTGTCACTTAAGTTATCCGCAGTGGTTTAAGATACTTACAGCGGCATAGAAAAAATAATTATGGTTCAATTAACAAGATATGCTTAGTTAAACAAATTTTCGTGGGAGTAAACAAGACTTTCCTGAATTTCTATACATTATTATAATCAAACATTTTTGGTACTTATTGGTAATTATTAGAACATTTAGATGATATCGATTATTCTGATTATTTTAACTAAAATTACGGACCGTTTATATTTCAAATAATCTGATTAATTAATGTATACGTATTTCAGATTAATTCATTCAATTTTTTTTCAGTGTATTGGCATCACTATTAAATTCATGATCAATTTAATTTGATCGCGAATTTAATGTTACATATATTTCGATATTATTATTTCGGTTACAGTTTGATTGCGTTTCGCGTCCGATGGTAATCAGAGCGCGCAGTTTATGTAATGGAAGATAAATTTAAAATTTACATAAATATTATTAGGCACTAAAATTTATTTTTGACGGTATTGGCCTTTCTCTGCTTACTTGATTTATTCACGCAGCAGTTTAGTTTGACTTACTATTATTGTTCTATCCTTGTCGTTTCTCATTATTATCGAGCATTGTTGGGGCAGTTTGACTTCGGGTCACCGTGAATATAATAAGGCTTGCAACAGGTGGCAAAATAATTATCATTACCGAAAGTTCACTGGATATTCGCAGCTTCTTGCATGGGAAGTTCGCAGTGTCT